TTTTAAAACTAAACTCTGGTGGTTACCCATCCATTGGTTATTCAAAACCTAGATTATTTCTTTCCCAAGAGGAAGAAAGCACCTCAAAAAATTATTTATTGCAAATGGCATCTATATTTTACGGCTATACTCCTAAAGATGTTTGATCTCGTGCCTATGAGTGTGTTCTTCAATACAAAATTAAAATACCAGGTTCTTGGACAGTCAATAAAATGACTGGTATCTACAGTTGTAAAACCTAGTAAAATTGTGGCTGCAAAGGGAAAGAGAAATGTTGGTGTTATGATATCTGGGAAAAGAGGCACTAATGTTGCAATGGTAACTGCTGTATCTGTTTCAGGAAATATAGTACCTCCAATGTTTGCGCTCCCTCACAAAAATTACAAAGGTTATTTTTTTAATAATAGTCCACCGGACTGTATTGGCGTAGGTAATGGAAGTGACTGGGTTACAGATATTGAATTCAAAAATTTTATGCAGCCATTTATAAGGCATGTGAAGCCTTCAAATGAATATAAAAATCTTTTGATTTTTATATTCATTTGACGGGTATACACCAGTTTTTTGAAGATCTATTTGATTTTCAAAAAACTGGTGTATACCCGTACAATGCAAACATTTTTGCTGATATTTTTTACCATCATTTGTCACAGATCATATAGAACCAGCAAATCTCATATCTGAACTATCACACGTGGCTCATTCTGAAGTACGTTTAACGTCATTTTCAGTTCAATTTGTCAAAAGTAGTATTAATAAAGAGACAATGTTACTTATTCCTGAAACTCCTAAAGCATTTTCTAAATATTTTCAAGAAAGAAACATTTGACAAGATGAAGAAAAAGGAGGCAAAAACGAGGCAAAAAAAAAGGAAAGCTGCTATTCTAACAGATACTCCAGAAAGAATTATATTAAAACAACAGCAAACTAAGAAACTTAAAAAAGTTGAGAAACAAAAAAAAGTATCTACCTTGTCAATTCCTTTCAAATATTAATAAAGAGTGTGGTAATAAAGAGACTCAGTTACATAGTATATTTTAAAAAGTTAAGAAACAAACAAACAAACAAAAACTGAGAAAAAAGAAATTTTAAAGAAACCAAAAAAAAGTTCTGCCTGTCAATCCTTTGCAGATCATGGTAATAAGGATACTCTGCTTAGTATATTAAAAAAAGTTTAAAAACTGAATGAAAAAAAATTAAAGACAAGTGCAGAACACAATTATGCTTGTCTTGCATGTTGGGAAACTTATTCTGAAAGTCTACCAGAAGAAAATTGGATCCAGTGTCAAGGTTGCAATCAATGGTCTCATTTAAAATGTGATTCACATTCTGGTCAAAATTATATTTGTATTAACTGCAAAAAGGAAAATGAAGACTAACATAAAGTGTTTACTTATTCTTTTATCATAATATTAACAAGTTTTGTTTTAAAATATTTTAAAAAAGTTGTGTTTAGTTTTAAGATTGAAAAGTTTCGTTTTGTTTTTATTTTAGTATCAAAATTATTAGTTTTAATATTCATATCTTAGATAACTTGTTAAAATTGAAAGTATATATTTAATTTATAAGGATGCTATGTTTTAGTTTTATAACAGAGTTAATAGTTGTCACAGAAATTCATTCATTTTTTTATTGCTCAACTTACCCCACTTACCCCGCTGGGGTAGGTTGAGCAGCCTAATAAACTTTAGACTATTTTTTTAAAACAAATCGAAAAAAGTTTTTTTGTCATTTTTTAGCAGATCAAATTATCTTTCTAATAGTGAAAAAATTATATTAATCCGATGTACCGTTCAAGAGATCTGTTAAATTTAGTAAAAATTCCCAACTAGCACTGCCCTACCCTATGCTAAAAAAAAAGACATATTACACTTACTTCAATGGCTCTCAAATTATACAAAATGTTTATAAAACCACACCCAAAATATGCAATCTATGTCTGGACTCACTTAACTGATATTTGATCTTTGGTTGAATTTGTTTAACGCAAACCAACAAAACATGTTTTTAAATCTCCCAACTTGAGTATTAACGTCTACGATACAATCTTATTCAAATCAATAAACTAAGGGGCTAATCATATGGGGAAAAAACATTCTATCTAACCGAGGTACTTGATTAGATGGGATGAATTGGTCAGTGGTAGCGCACTTGCCTCAGAAACAAAGGATCCGTGGTTCAAACAAGTTTTGCGACATCGGTTAGGAAGGAGGCGTGAACTTCCTACTAAATGTTCATCCACGGTGCTCTGTGATAAGACCGAAAAGACTTCTTGGGGCACCTAAATAAAATTAAAAATAAAACAGTTTGTGACTATATGGAAAAAAATATCTCGCCCAAGTGGGACGTTTTTAACGTCATGTAACAGTTGTTAAATTTAAAATTTTCAATTAAAAACTATAAAAAAGGAGATATAAAGCAACTACGCAACAAAACTGGTTTTTAGCTTGTGTTCATATAAAGAATTTTTATCCCGCCTAACCGGAATCCCGGTAGTTCATAGGCGAGATCTGGACGAATGATTTTTTATATGAATGCAATGTTGAAATTATATGGCTTTTAAAGTTTTTTACCCCATTTAAGTGGAATGATCTTTATCTATAAGAACAGCCCCTAAAATACTTTTAAATATATTTAATAATAATATAAATATTATATAATTTGTCTCTAAACTTATTAGCTTCTTGTCACATAGTCATAATAATTTTAAATTAAATATTAAAATGTGAAATAATCTATAAATAAACTTTATTTAAAAACTTGATTTTATTAAACTATTTTTGTTATTTTTATTTCTAAACTATTTTGCAAAATACGCAGTTTAATATAAACCAGGCTCAAAAAACAATATCGACTAGTATTAAAATCATAATTAATATCATAATTTATTAACAACTTTATTCGGTAGCTTCAAAGCTTGCTTCAAGACTTTTGTTGTCATAGTAAACTTAATGTTATTGTCATTGTAAGTGATATAAAAATAACTTAATGTTATTGACATAGTAAGTAGTAGTGTCATAGGCTGAAGTAATTATTATTAAAATATCTAGTTAGATTTTTTAAATAGATTTTTTAAATAATAACTTGAAGATATTTATTGTAAATAAAAATACGAGACTGAGTTTTTTAAACAGTAAATAAGACTGTATGAAACTTGTTAAAAATTAATTATCCTGATGAAAAGTGTTTAAAAAATTATTTTGTTAAAATGCTTAAAAAAAAAAAGATTTTTTTATTCTTACTAATAATTTTTCTAATAATTTCTAATAATTCATGCAATTTTGTATAAAATATATACAGGCATTCAAAATCGCATTGTATGTTTACTTGTAGGCTCAAACTTTTATTTATTGTTTTAATATTGGCGAGATTTTTTACTGTTTGTTCTAATTTTTATTATTTTTTTTTTTACCGTTTTGATAATTATTGTTTTTTGTTTTTTTTTGCGGAGAGTTCAAATATATTTTTGTACTTTTCTAATTACAATCACCTTATTAAAAGTAATAAGTTGATTGGATTAAAATTTCAAAAAAAATCTGATTGGATGACGGCATATAATAAAGTTTGACTGATGATAGTTCAATTAGCGTATTCTAATATAAAAATTCAATTAACAAATAAATATTAAAGAAAAAAAAGGTAAAAAGTAACAAAATACGGCTGTTTCAAGGTTTTTTTTTTTTTTTTTTTTTTTTTTCAAATAATCACTTAAGTGGTGTTACTAAAACTTTTTTAACTTTTAAAATATTGGAGATAATTTTGTTCTGTAAAAAGAATATAAACACCAATAAAATGTTTTATCTTATTACATTAAATGAATTAATAAAAACTTTCTCCGATTTCAGATTAAACGCGGCAAATGAAGAACTTGGCTAAATTTTAGTAATTGTTTTTGAAAAAAAATATTTCAGATTATTAAATTATACACCTTGTACAACCACTATAAATCAACAGAAGTTTACTTAAACCTAATTGTTAACTAAAACAGGTATTGTTTAAGTCAGTAAAGCAAATGGCATTATTTTACTGGTAAAGTATTTGAGGTCACGTGATTATTTTAAAACTTTACGCAAAAACTAGGTAATTTTTTTCTGAATCAGCCAAGTTTGAAAAAGATATTTAATTTAGCTAGAGATACAGAAATAATTTTTTGATTTTCATATTCATAAAAGGTCGAAGTATTACTAACTTCACAGACTTTCCACAAATATTATGTTTGTTTAAAACGAATGAAAACAAAAATACAAATGCATTAATAACTAACTTTTTGTAAAAAAAAACCATCAAAGTTTGCGAAAATCTAGATTGAGCAGACATTTATTAACAAGTGTACCGAATTTCAACCATCAACAATGTAACTATGTTATCAAATCTTAGTTGGCCTAAGACAAGTTTTCAGATATCAGAATAACGGTCCCAAGTTATTAGCAATATTTTTACGACTTTTATTTTTATTCCATTTAATGTAAATATTTATTTAGCAAGGAAAGATAGATCTTTTATATTTTTTATTTAAAGATTAAAGCGTTTATAGAAAAAAAATACTATAATTTTAAAGTTAGTGAATTTTTATACTTTTTGTGCGGAAATACTTTTTTTTTTTTTTTTTTTTTGATAAACTCGTGACTTAGCTTTTAAATAAATAAAGATTAAAAGAGCCGTGGAAAATAATGGTAATAAAAAAGTATAATACTAGTTGTTACTGTAGAAAAATTGTAGAGTTATTAAACTTTTTTTTAAAAAATCTAAATCTCTTTAGTAAAATTACAAGTTTATATGTAAAATATACTATGCATCACAACTTTTAAAACAACACTTTATACATACATACATTCATATATATATATATATATATATATATATATATATATATATATATATATATATATATATATATATATATATATATATATATATATATATATATATATATATATATATATATATATATATATATATATATATATATATATATATATATATATATATATATATATATTAAATAGTAAGCTTTAGTTACTTTATAAAAAAATTGTTTTACTGTAATAACAGCTTTTGGTTAGAAAATATTCAACGTTCTTAGATTTGATTTCTTATAAATGAGTTATTTGAAAGCAATATTAATAGAATATCCCATACACATTTTTCTTTTTATTTACAAGTTCTTTCAACTTAAAAATACCAATGTGCTGCCAATACTTTTATTATAAATTGCTGATATATATTTTTTAATAAATAACTAGATCAGCAGAATACGCTTTTATTACCAATCTAACAAACATCTGGTTTGAGAATTAAACGGATGTTTCTTTATAAACTTTAATACCATTTGGTATTGACGTGAGAATCGGAGCTATCGGAGATTGCTTTATAACAGGAGTCTCTTTTGGATCATCCATAAGAATAATGTCAATTAAATGCTCCATGCCAATTGTCTTTGCGCAAATGACGTGCTTTCGAGTTTTTTTTTCATGCGTTTTGTTTTCGTCTCCTTTATATACAATATAAGCTATTTAACATCCGTAAAACATTTACAAAAAAAAAAGCAATTTTGTTACCTTTTTAATTTTGTAAAAAAATAAAAAACTTACCTTTTTTATCATTTTCTAAATTGCCTTCTACTTCTTCAATCTCGCAATCTTCAATAATGTCCATTTTTTTACTTTCGGTAAATGAAACTGATCGGTCTTTTCTCTCACTTAGTTGGTTATTGATTAAGTTTTTATGGTCAACAAAAACAGCTTTTTTACGAAAACTGCTTTTTCGATTTGTTTCAAAAGTATCATACTTTTCGTTGTTATAACTTTGATCTTGGTCATCAGGGGGATTTTGAGTTTCATTATTTTGATCTATTGCGCTTATTATGTTTGAATTATTGTCAACAAGAGAATGAGAAAGTTCTGTAGTTTTATTATCTACTTCATCTTCAGATTCTACTTCTTCCACTACTTCTGATGCTATCAATACAAACTCTTCTTCCTTCCTCAGTTCTGTGTACCGAACTTGAGTTTCTCTACTATATTTTCGCTTAGCTAAGCTAATTTTTCTATTGTTTTCTTGCTTTTCTGCGTCTTCATGGATTGGTAATGTTGGAATCAATTTTTGCTGAACGTTTTGATTTTCATCTTTATTAATCTCATTGTATAGGATATTTTCAGAGCTTCCAGTTGTTTCTTCCATTGACGGTTGAGTAAGTAACATAGAATAAGTAGAAGTTCCATTTAAAAGGTTACCATTAAATTTAGAAAAATTTTCGAACGGTTTTTTGGTTTGATGGATTGAACTGAGATTTTCTTGGTAATCTAGTTTTGGTTTATCATCTAAGTTTGTTTGATCATTCATTTTTTTTATTATTGAGAGGTTTTCCTGAGGTTCGAACGAAATTTCTTCGGTAATTTTCTAAATTAAAAGAAAGATACTTTAACAAAAATCAAATTAATTTTTAATAAATAAAAAATATATTTTTGACTATGATTATATTAGTAAACATAAATGAATATATAACATATAACAGTTTTGGTTTCTGCATAAGCAGTAATCAAAACTGTTTGGTTAATTAAGGCAAAGTAAACTTTATTAAATAAACCAGAAGCAACCCACTCAGAAGTACACAACTTATCTTTGAAGCTTTAACAATCTTGGCAGGTATTTAAATGTAATAGACAAAGTTTATTTAATTCAAATGTCTTCTTAATCTGAAACAACAAATAAACATTTGTCTCTAATTTTTGTTGAGTTTTATATCTTTTGAATTGTCTTGTTTTAAAAATCCTTTGTTTACTTTAACTTCGGGATATTTCACCAGTTACTTCAACTAACACAAATATATAAAGCCATTAAAAAAAAAACGTTAGCAATGGAATTAATTTTTATTTGTAATAATTACTTTCAAAATATAAATGAAGATAATAAAGGATTAATTTGTGTTCAACCTTTAAAAAAGATCTCCTATCTTCTCTAAAGAAAGACTCCATTTCTTATATTACTACTTATTTAAATAAAAAATTATAATAAAAATTCCCCCTGAAATTATTAGTAATAATTTTGCTTGCACATCGATTGAAAACTAAATTGGATTTTTGTGCGAACAACATTAGTTTATTTATACGTCATTTTGCAAAACGCAAGGCCAATATAACTTAATTATTTTCCGATGAACAAACAGTTTTGCTAATATAAAGTCAAAAACTTGTAATATTATAAAACTATTAAAGAGTTAGATAACAATATATATAAGAATTTAATGACCTAAATATTTGATACTTAAATATTTACCGTGATAATCTAATCTTATTGCGCAAACATTTTAACTTTTTTTTTCTTTTTTTATCCCCCATTCCAATATATTCAATAAATAAATGAGTATTTACAGATGTTATTTTGTTAAAACACTTAGATAGTTGCATTCAAAAATTTTTATGGATGCATGTAGAAAAATCCACATTTAGAATGTTGATGTTAAATGTGGACTCTTTAATAAAAGTTTGAGTTTTAGGAAAAAGTCCATGTTCAAAAGAAAAAAAAAAAACAAACAAAAAAAAAAACATATATATATATATATATATATATATATATATATATATATATATATATATATATATATATATATATATATATATATACATATATATATATACATATATATATACATATATGTATATATATATATATATATATATATATATATATATATATATATATATATATATATATATATATATATATATATATATATATATATATATATATATATATATATATATATATATATATATGTAATATCTTTTTTTGTTATTTTTTATATTTAAATCTTATTTTTGAAACCATCATTGTTATATTTTACAACTAATTTAAAATTTTACTTTTTAGATAAAATATGATCATTAAGTGTTTTTTATTTTATTTTTGTTTTCTAGTTGTCGTTGGTTTTTTTACATTTTTAGTTTTTTACATTTCAGCATGGAAAATTTGTTTTTAAATCAACTATGATGTTTTTAAAACATCTATGAGTTATCAATAACTAACTTTTTGAAAAGTAACTTATGGCAAACTCGTCAAACAAATATTGAACCGTAAATCAATTTCCGTAGTAAATTAGATATTTTTATTATTTGCATTTGAAGCATTTCAGATGATTTAAAAAAATTAAAACAAAAACTTTTTTTTTCAGATCTGTGCCTACATAAGTGTGTCCGGATTTTTTATGATCTATGGCTAAATAGATTTATAAAGTTGGTAAACAATAGTTTGGCTTCAGTAACTTAACAGAAACTTTGAAATTGATTATTTTAATGAACGTGTTAACATAATCAACTTACTTGATCTTTTATGGATTCGCTTCAAAAATCAACTGAATCTCATTTATGATTTAAATTTATTGAAAACCAGAAGAATTTAGAATTTGTTTTCAACAACGAGTTATTTTAAAACGGTAATTTTTAAATGGTGGATTTTTTTATTGATAAATGCATCCAAATTTGGTTTCAGTTTTTATTGGCTTTAATAATAAACTCAAATTTATTGAAACGTTTACTTAACGTTGCTATTGTTCAAAGTTTTTTACGTTTTTTAGTTGAACGTGTTTTACGATTAAAACAACACATTGAAACGTTTAAATCTATTGAGCGATATATCAATAACGTACCAAAACTAAAGTAAATGTATTGCAAAATCAATCACCTAATACTAATTTTCATGTCAATATATAAACTATTTTTTATGCGTTCCAACTTGTATCAAGATTTCAAACTTGTTGTTCTCTTTTTTACAGCAGTTCTCTTCGATTATTACGTATTCGCCGAGAATTCCTTCTAAATAAGACATTTCTTGGTTTTCTGTAATTTGTAATGTCTCCTTTATCTCCTTTATCTCCTTTGTATCTAGTTCTTTATCATCTTTAATTTTTGTTCCACAAAAATTTAAAACTGAAGTTCTGTTATGTTTATTTTGATGATCAAGTATTAAACTTACATTATTTTTATCTCCATTATAAAGTATTTTTAAGTGTGGAGAATCCAAGTTATAAGTTTGGTTATCTTGAATGCTTTCTTTAATCTCGTCATTATTCTCGTTTTGCTTCGTTTGCTTTTCCTGATACGTTGTGAGTTGAAATTTGTCATTGTTTGAATTAAAATCGATAAAATTCATGGAGTCAATAAACTCTTCGTTTTTAATAAAAATGTTTTCTTGTTCGTTCGTTATGTTCAAAATATCTTCATACTCTGTCACCACAGCACCAGTTTCTTCTACTGATTCTATTTCAGTAGTTTCACATCTATCATATATCTCAAAAATTTCGCTAGAATGGTATCCAAATCCTTTTTCTGTAACATATTCGTACGGAAAATAACGTAAGCTTTGAAAATTACCATTTATCAAATCTTTGAAATCTTTCTTCTTGACATCAACAGTATTTTCTTTCTTTATTTTAAGATCGTTATGATATTTAAAACTGTTACTATTGTTGAGGAATATGTTGGCTGCCATTATGACATTCATAGAGTATTTTTTTGCACTAACAACTAAATCGTTGTTTAAAAATTGCAGAGAAAAAACTTTTTGTTCTGTTTGTTTTATGAACAAGAGTTTTCTGTAAGCAAAATGGCTTAGCAACACGACACGATTTTTTTATTTATTGTAAGAGACATAATCCATTAGTTGTATATCATAATCCAATACATGTTTATCATAAAAGTATTTTTGCATCTTAAGTATAAAGAGTCAGCTTTAGAATAAAAAAAGAAAACACTATATAATTGCTAATATTTGTATTTTAACTGTATAATACTATAAGAATTACGTTGATTATTTTCTTCATTATCGAATATAAGCTAACATTTATTGTTATTCATTATTATAGTTAATATATTGTATTTTATTATTTTGATTAAAACTGCTGATACTATACCAGTTTATTTCTAGTAATTATACTGATATTAGCAGTTTTAACACGTTTATTTAATAAAATAAAGTATGTAAGAGGACTTGAATATATTAGGTAAATATTTTGTTTTCTGGTAAACTAAATTTGTTAAAAGAAAACATTCCCCAACAATATTGCAGCAAATTTTGCTTAAAAAGAAAATCGACCAATAACATTGCAGAAAGTTTTGTTAAAAGAGAACAACGACCCAATAATATTGCAGCAAAATTTCTCAATTTTGAATTGTTAGCAAATCAAGTTTATCATTTACAAAACAAAATAAATTTTTGAATTACGAGAAAGCCATAATTCAATATATATCGTATATGTGAATCGTAACTAAGACACACAAGGTTCATATCATAGGCGCTCGTATTATTTCCAAAGAAATTTAAAAAAATCTTTTTCATAAAATTTTTTTTAAATTAGGATAATAACAGAAAAAAAGTTCAATTTCACTAAACAACGTATTCTACTAAACAACGTATTTCACTAAACAACTTACTTACTGAAATGATAATTTTGAAATGTGTGATAGAAATAATCAATAAAACTTACCCGAAATGATACTTTTGAAATGTATGATAGAAATAAACAAAGTTGTTGTTACGCGTCCAAAGAAAGTAGCGGGGAGGCAAAAATTGTTTTGTTTTAAACTAATTTTCCAACTTATGGGATTTAATGGAAACAAAAAACAAGTTACCATTGAGTTACCATATGTTTAAAGATTTTTAGTTTTAATTAACAACGTTATAACAATATTACATTGTAAAATTAAAGTCATATGTCAAACTTTCTAAATGTATTTTATTTTAATTTGAAAAAAATGCCATAAATTTGAAAAATCTTAGTAGGTGTGTTAGTAACCCACTTGACATTATGTTTGAAGTTATTCACTTTCTTGATTTTTAGCTGTGTAAGTTCCCTCTATAAGATATTATATGTAATTACTTTATTAATAAAAGCGTATTATTATTATTATTAAAAAAAACTAGTTATTTTATTTCTTAATTACTAAAATTTATTATTTCATATATGAGCCAAAAAAGTGGTTTGGTTTAAAACGGTCTTCTTTCATTTGATGATATATTGTATCTATTGCCCAAAAACACGATGCCAAATGAAAAACAAAAAAAACTCCTCTGAGTCTCAAACGACAACTTCAATAGTCAAAATAGAAACAACAACAAAAAAAACAATAGCAACAACAACAACAACAACAACAAAATAAATTAAAGGTTTTGATTTTCATTAGGCAAAATAAAAAAAGTAATAAACCACAATTTCATGAAACATAGATTGTAAAATAGACTTTTTATTACTATTTTTTTAGATAACTACTAATAGAAAAATGGAGTAAAGAATTGTATGTCAGAGCAACGGCACCTGTATGTTCGTCGTCGGCCATATGACGATAGTTAATATACTTAACACTTATAATAATTATTAAACATAAACATTATAAAATAAATATATCACATATAGGTCTTTGATGTATGTAATATATGTGCATTTATACATATTATAAATAATACATGTTTAGATTAATACTTTTTGTAATGTGTTGATGGTGTGTAGTAATGGCGGATTAAGACTTTTTAGGGCCCGGGGCTATTTTTGTTTTTGGAGGCCTTTGTATAGGCCAGAGCCTAAAAATGATGAAAAAAAAAAAGATCCTCTAAATTTTTTGGGGGCCCCTAAATTTGCAGGGCTATAGCCACTCCTAGCCCTTCCTTGATCCGGCACTGATGTGTAGAAATTTAATATACGATTTTATTATTATACAATAAGTTTTCCATAAGTAACGTTTATATCTGTCCCCATAAGTATTGATAACTATTTAATTTGTTGTGAGTTTTAGTAAGAAGACCAATATTTAAAACAAAAATAATTCTCTTTGATTGGGAGAAAAAAATCTTTTGCTGATCTTAAAGAAAAGCATAAAGAATAATGTTTTAAGAAAAAGATAAAACAAATTTTAGTAAAAAATTTAAAGATAAAATAGCCGAGCTGGAATTATGAGAAATATTTGAAGATTTAAGTTGAAGAAAATAAAAATAAAACCTGGGAGGATAAAGAATTAAAAATAAAATTGTTTAGTAAAAATATAACATAATTTAAAACAAAAACTAAGTATATATTGAGAGAGAGAGAGCAAAAATTGGAATATAGGAAGTAATACATCCCCCACCTTCCCGAAATAATCCCCCTGAGAAAAAAAACCCCGTAAAAAACCATCTTAAATAAAGAATAATTTTTTTTAAATTGATAGGTTTGTTGCAAAGCCAAAATCTTCAGTCAACGTAACGGCACTCCTTGCATGTTTTACCTATTTGTCAGTTGATGTATGAAAAATGAAAAATTCAAGTTTTGCTAGTGACATAATTTATTGTAACATAATATAAGTATAAAACGTTTACATTATTAACAATTAATTAATTATAGAACAAAGTTTGAAAGAAAAATAGTTATTTAAACATTAAAGTAAATTTTATCGTGTATGGGAATACTTGATACGTTTCTGTATTTTTAAGATTTTTTCTTCATTAGTTTTGCCATCATTAATTTTAGCTCATAAATACAGCAAAAAAATAATAAGCAAAGAAAAGAATTAAAAAAAAAACTTTAAGGTTTAATAATGATTTGCCAAAATTAAAATGATGACAAAGTAAAAAGTTGTAAAATGAAACTTTGATAACAATGGCAGTTCCTCAGATTGTAGGCTAGGATAATATAAAAATCAGCACCTCTTATTAATTGCATTGTCACAATAGACATTTTTAATAACAACCAATAATGATGAAAATAAAATTTATAAAAACTTTTTTGAGACATAAGACGCTAGAAATCCTCCAGAATAAATTTAAATTTAATTACATGCAAAATACTTAAAAACAAAATTTTATGAAAGTTAAGTAGATAGATTAAAAATAATTTGTTTGATCAAACATGCCAAATACAATTAAATTCGAAAATAAAATGCTTTACGAACCTAGCAAATTTGCAAATGAATTTAGTAAATTTTTGACATAAATTAAAGTCAAACTTTTTTATAAAATGCCAATTATCGATACCTCTTTACCATTAAATGCATAGCGCAGATTTAAGTAACTGTTTTAAGTGTTTAAGTAATAAATTTAAGTGCCAAATAATTGCATTACTTGCTTATTTAGGCTGCGGATCCCTATCAAACGAAGCTAGGTAATACTATTATTAAATTATGTCATGCATTTAAAAGTTAATGTTTATAGATAATCCTCATTTTATTAATAAATTACCTTCCGAGGGGTTTGACGCAGTTTTTAAACCTTTTTTTTAAATAGTAAGAAGCTTGACGCAGACATGCAGTAACATAACTATACATAGCAGCATCATAATAGTAATACAGGTTGTTATGAAAAATTAAGAAATAGTTTTTAATTTTTAGAGGATTTTAATACATTTGCTAGAACAAGGAGTTTTTTAAGATTAACTGAAAATTGCAAAAGTTATTCCAATTTGTAAAATATCTAACATTTCTACAATTACTGTTCAGTACTTATCCTTCTTGTATTTAATAAGAAATTTTAGGAAGAATTGTTTAGAATAATATAATTATAGATCATCGAGGTCATGTTTTAAAAATCCGGAAAATTGTTTAGGTAAAATATCCGGAAAAAATCCGGAATATATTTTCCCTTATGTTCCTTCAAATTTTGCTTTTAGCTGAGTTGTTTTTAATTTTTCAAGAGTGTGAAGTTGTAAATAAAAAGTACTGATTCCGATTCCGACTTAAATCGTTGAAATTTTCTGAGTACGACTCCGACTCCAACTCCGACTCAAAAGCAAATTATTTGAAAAAATCTTTGAATTCTTTAAAAATATTACGCAATAAGTTAAAAAAATTTTTTTTCGCCAAATTTATGAAAAGTTCTTTGAGGTTTAGTAAGAATATAAGGTTAATTGAATATTTTTTACATGCACATGCAATACAGAGAAGTTTTACTATTGGAGTCGGAGTCGCGATTTTGTTTAGCGACTCCGACTCCGCTATAAATGCCGCGACTCCGCGACTCCGACTCCACAGCCCTATAACTTTTCTTAATTTTTGTATGAGTAGTGAGTGAAAAAGTTTAAAAAACAAATATATTGCAAAAATGTTTACCAAAACTTGTATGGAAAACATTTTTGAAATCCGGAAAAATGAAAAGTTGAGAAAAATATCCGGAATTCCGGAAATATCCGGAAAATATATCCTGTATAATATATAAACCTTTTTTAATAAAAAACTAATATACAATTAATTTGTTTTTAAAAAAAAGATAATTTAACGGAACAAACAATTGTTTAATTTGTCCGGGAAATCTTTTAATCTTTTGATGGAAAATAATATACATAAGGCAAATATCACAAATGATATAAACAAAGCATTAAACCTAAAATGCTATCATGTTTGCATATAATGCATTTTTTTAAATGTTAAACTGTACCATGATTAAACTGTTTTATAAAATGAATAATAAAATCATATCTCTGGTATAAAATAAATTATCTCTGGCATAAAATAAATTATCTCTGGTATAAAATAAATTTGACTAAAAGATTGACTAAACAAAGTAAGAGGAATAGCTTGTTTCACTTCTAAACAAATAAAAAAGACTTTTTTTGTCTTTTTTTCGTCCGTGTCCACTGGGTAATGCGTTTTTATTTCAATATTTTATGCTTTACGCTTCAACGTAAAAGTGATTCAGAAATTTTTAATTATTTTTTGTCTTGCCAATAACTTTTAATGTTTTTTAAAAAAAAAATCTAAAAAAAAATTGTTTTTCTATTTTTGTATTATGAATACTTCTAAGAGTTACTAAATAATATAATTTAAATTAATTTAATTAATAAATTTAAATTAATTTGATGTATAAATTTAAATTAATTTGATTTATAAATTTAAATTAATTTAATTTATAAATCGTGTGACAATATATTATAGTATAATTTACTTTATAAAGCTTTTAAAATGTTCTTACAGCACCATTCAGACATTTCATAAGAAGACTTGTTTATATTTGTAAAGGTCTTTTTCTTTCTTTTTTTAAATATTTATATTAAGTGTATTGCGACTAACAAAAAGAGTTCATATTAGAAATTTAAGTATTGCTTTTTTTTACTAACGGTTCCACGCATTTTTGTCTATGGCAAAACAAGATTTTTAAATGAAACATCTTGACGTGATTTCTTATGTTATTGCTTATGTTTTTACTTACGTTATATTAAAATGACGTAATCAATTTAGTACAGTTTTAATTACCTTTTTTATTTTGTCTCATAGGTCTTAATAGACTTTGAATATTTTAAAAAAGGGCCTAGGCCTTAGGCTTTGTTTAAAGATTACAAAACTGTTCTCCATGACTTTTGTAAAATTTTCCAAATTCCAAGTTGTCACAAGCTATCGAAGTTAAACTATTGGAACAATTGAAACGCAGGTTTTGTATTGTTTTTTATATTTTGTTTTACAACTGTTAATTAGATTTTATACAAAAACTTTTGTAACGATAGATATGCAATTTTTAATATTGAATAGTAAACATATCGATAAATTAGATTTGCGCGAACTTCAATTTGCAAATGTTTTATTTGTTTGTATAAGTATGCTTTCGAACAGACGATAAAGTAAATTCAATTTAAAAAAATGATAGAATAAAAATAAATAAATAAAAAATTTTCAAAATTTTTTTATTTTTAAAAAAGGTTATTTGCTCATTACGTACACCTGTAACTGTGTTTGTCAGCTCGAAAGCAGCTGTCAATAAACTAATTTTTTGCTGCAATTTTTATTTCAATTATTTAGTTATTTAATTTTTTTGATTTATTATTTCAAAAAATTAACATTTAAAACCTTTTTTTGAAAAATTAAGATTAGATAAAGAAACAATAACAAAAAATTAAAAAATATAATGCACACAAATATCACATAAATATAAACTTTAAAACTATAAAAAACGCATAAATATGGAAACCTTGATCAAAAGTAAACTAGGAAATACAAGTACCTCTTCATCTGGAATTTTTTTCATGAATTTTGAGAATCGATTGATTGCATTTAATTTTTGAAAAGATTGCTGTAAAAAAAAAATGTTTAATAAAATTCAATATTAAAATCTTGCCCAGTGGGCACGGACGTAAAAAAGAGGTCTTTTAAACGTCTTATACGCATTTATGACGTCTTTTAAACGTCTTTTGAACGTTTTTGACGTCTTTTGATCGTTCAAAAGATGTCTTTTTCTGGTCTGGTGTCCACTGGGTAGATAGACTTATAAAAAAGAATCCTAGTAATGTAAAAAAGGATAGTTAATAATAATTAATTCGATTATGAATGTGTCAGGATTAAAATTGAAAGTAGTAGGATTTTAGCAAATTAAACGTTGTTTTACGCTGTTATACAGTGATAAAATTTTCGATTGCAGCCGTGGTGGCATTTTAAACGCTGCTACTAGGTTTATTTATAAGTGAATATTTATAATTAATTAAAAATACCTGCCATCTTCTTTTAGCCAGGTATCGCTTCAGCTTTGCAGTCGTTATAAATACAGATTCAGTTCGAGCACGAGGTGCTGACTAAAAAAAAAAAAAATTAAGAGTATTTTATAACTTTAATATTTTTTTATAATACATAAAATTACGAATGATTTTATTATCAAAATTAATTCTCGGCCTAAAATTATGATATAAATAATATTTAGTTTACCTGAAAACATATGATATACTTTCCCCTAATTAATGAGAAAAATTTATGAAATTATTTAAAATGTTATTTTATTTTTACCATGTATACAAGCCAATCATGTTTAAGACATTCTTCTGCCGTCAATCTATCTCTGTAAAAAAAAAAGACAGATGTTTAGTCGTCATCACTCATTGTGCATTTAAAAAAACGACCAAAAGTGACACGCGTCGGCCAGTGGGCATGCGTTATCCGGGAGATGTCTGCCAGACATCTCAAGGACGTCCAAATGTCTGTAAGACGTCCAACGAACGTTCTACGGACAACACATGCCCACTGTATACAGTAAAAATGAAAAAAATTAAAAACTTAATAGTCATTGTGCCAAATAGTAAGACCTGCAAAAATTTTGACCTACAAAGTTATTCTAAAAAAAGAACAAGAACAAGAGAAATGAACACTAAAAAGTGGAACTAATTAATTAATAATAGTCATTATAATCTTACTTAAGGTTAATAAAACAACTAACATAACATTTTTAAAGAGTCTCTTCAAGCATCTTTTTTAAAATTTAATAAAATATATATTATCTTATCCTGTAGTGCTAGTTACAGGGTTAATGGCATTCTGTAGTGCTAGTTACAGGGCTAATGGTATTCTGTAGTGCTAGTTACAGGGTTAATAGCATTGCCATCTTATAAAAAAACACTATTTGAACAAGTTTTTTTAACAAATTAAAAGTTATGAAAATACTTTTGCATAATAGGTCATGTTTTATTTTGCCGTTTATGCTTTTTAGATTTTAAACAAGTAAAATTAAAAACGAGTTTTAAAAACCCAATGCTTTTATATGTTTTATGAAACACAAATTTTGCAACCAATTTTTTCGGATATTGCTTTATTTTATTAACATTCGGCTGTACGCTAAAAAACAGAAAAAATTCAGGAAGAAGCGGATCTCGAGCCATAGATATTCCGTTTCAAAGTCAACGCCTAATTCAAATAAGCTAAACGCACGTTTAAGTTAGAACAAATAACATATTTATTTTAACAATTATTATTCTTCTTCCTATACAAAAAATAAACTTAACTAAATTAATTGACTTATTGCAAAACTAATTATTGAATATTGTATTGTCATCAAGCAGGAGTATGTGCAAAATTTGAAGAAAATCTATCGTCAGGAAGTGACTCGAAAATTGATTGCAAGAGTTAATGCTAAAAGCAGACGAGGAACTAATAAAAGCTTTGGGAAAAAAATAGCTTTGACCTTTAAAACTGAAATAGTATTTTTTCTTACAGACTCTGGTGTATTATATTTTAATTTGTTAAACAGTGTTTACTTTTAAATAAAAATACATATTAAATGAGACAAAACTTTTACATAAAATAGAAATAATCTTCAAACAGGGTGTAGTGTAGGGTCAAATAGGGTGTGGTGTAGGGTCAAATAGGGTGTGGTAGGGTGTGGCAAAATGGCCTTTCTGACAAACTTTCTGGCATGTGAAAAATACTCATCCACTTTTAATTTTTTTTTTTTTAAATAATAAAATTAAATAAAGTACTTTTTTACCAATTTTAAGACAAAGATAATATAGTCTACTTTATACTGTAAATGCATTTTAAATAAAGAAAACAAACGTTGTTTTAGGGCACATTTTTAACCCGCACAGTGACACCATAATAAAAAGAAATTAAAACAACATTGTGTAAGCTTTATTAAAAGTAGTGAAATAATAAAACAACTTGATTTCATTGATATCGACTTAAAGATAGCAGTTTTAGGTAAACTATTCCAAATAACAAACATGCTTGTATTGCGTTGAAGTACTTGATTACATTTTGAAATTCTATATACTGTAGATCATTTGCTTTATTATTTTCTTTATCATATATAAACTTAAATATAAACGTCAGTAAAACGTTTAAATATTAACGTCAACAAAATGTTAAAGCATAAATGTTAGTAACAAATGATTGAATCAATTTAATATATGTAAATCTATTCAATCGTGTCAATTTATTTTAAATGTCAGTAGGTTTAACGTCAGCCAAAAGTTTAAATATAAACGTCAGCAAAAAATTTGAATATAAATAAATGATTGAATAAGTTTATATATTGTTAATGCAAAAGTTATAGTAAGAAAAAAAAATTTTCATAATTCGACTAAAGTTTTTATAAGCTAACAATCACAAACTACAAAACGTTTTGAAAAAATGTCACATCAAATGCTGAGAAACCATGCATTCCGTCGCGGCGGAATGCATGGTTTTTTATGAGGTTTTCGGTTAGCGACAACTGGTTAGCGATATTGCTAACCAGTAGCATTTGCTTCATTTTTATTTTATTTAAAGTTTTAGTGTTTAAATTTTGTTAGATAGTATTTTATTTTATACTTTCTAACTTTTAACAATGTTTGAAAAATTAGTTGCTGCTAATTAAGTCTTTAGGTAAAAAAAGGTGAAAATTTAAAAACTTAAGAGAGAACTTATTTTTTTGTTGATTTATTTTGAATAGTAAATTAAAATATCGTTTTTCAAATTTTTTAGGGTTTACTGCACATTTTTGTCAAGAAGTGAGGTAAGATGAGTCAAGATGACAAAAGTTTTAAAAACCTTTATTTTGTCATCTGGTCACGTGTTCGGAGCATCTACTTTAGTTTGTCATCTTGTCATGTGTTCGGAGCACTTTTATTTTAAAAACAACTAAAACCTTTCCTAAAATATTGCAAAAAAACCTTGTAGAATACCCATTATTAATAACCTTAGTCGATATATATTTTTAACATTAAAAATAAAACTATACGTTTAGAATCACATTAACAATATTAAGAAAAAATTAATTTGGTTGATCTAAATTATTTAGTAAAGTAGGGGGGGAAAAAAAAAGGAGGGGGAGCGACATTTAAATTTTTTAGTTATTTTTTTTAAGAATATCAATTTTACACTGTCTTAATCTATGTAACTATGAAATTGCGTTATAATCCCATCATTCCAACTTTTTTTTTGCATCTCACAAACTTATTAAAATTTTTTATCACATTTAAACAGCCTTCCTAATTTACTCCCGCTTTCACACAACTGCTCAGTTAAATATATAATTAAAAAAAAATTTCTTTTTCATAAATATCTTTATGTTAGGAAGAGGGGGGGGGGGGGAATCAACTGTCCCCATCGTCGTCCTCCCTCTCCTATGGATATGCATTTACTATACGCTAAAATTTACCATACGCTAAAATTTTAATAATTACCCTTTTTGTGATTTGTTATAGAGTGTTGTAGCTAGCTTTAAAATAATTAAAAAAAAGTTTTAGTTTAAGAACCTGTTGCGAACTAAATTATTTATAAGCTGTTATATTTTTTTTATATGTAAGTATCTGTCACGTGACCCTTTGTCAGATCATTTAATAATTTTTTTGGTAAACATAAAGAATAAAATAATAAAAGCAAAAAATTTCAATCTTAAGTTATTTTTTAATTTTAAATAAAAGGGTAATAATAAAAAGCAGCATAAATCATATCAACTTACGCAGGTTGTTTGACAAGTAGACCGGAAATGAAATCTTTTGCGTGGCATGATATTTGTTCAAATGAATCGTCTTCAAAATCGTAATCAACTTTAACAATAGCTTCATAAGTTTCTTGATTATTCTCACCAAGAAATGGAGAGCAACCACTTAGACTAAAAAATATAACAATAATTGCAACAATAACGATACATCAAATATTAATAGAATTGAACTCATTTAATTTGAATCATCACGCGTCGAAAAATATGCTCAAATTACAACAGGAATTTTTTTTTTTTTAATTATTATAAATTTGTCGTTTATAATAATTACAACTCTCATATTTGTAAAATATACACATGGCGGGGGCAAGAAGAAGACAAAATAGTTTTATCGCCAAGCCCCCAATAATCCGTAAATAATATAGCCATCAAATCTTGTCATTAAAAATGTTGTCAAATATATATATATATATATATATATATATATATATATATATATATATATATATATATATATTATATATATATTATATATATATATATATATATATATATATATATATATATATATATATATATATATATATATATATATATATATATATATATATATATATATATATTTTAAATAAAGATAGTAAACTCTAAAATTTATTTTTAAAAATAATTGAATACTAAGCAAAAATAAAAAAAAAAAACGAAAAAATTATATTATATATATATTCAAGACTATATATAACAATTTTTAATTATTGCGATTAAGAATTACTAATTAGGAAATATGATGAAAAGAATTCAAAATTTTAAGGAAAAATTTTTAGATTTTCATATTTTTTAATTAAGTATAGCTTTTAAGCATAGAAGAAGTCCTTTATGTTATTATTTCTTTTAGTTTGTTATGTTTTTATTTCTTTTAGTTTTGATTTAAAAATATTTAAGTTTGCAAGCGTTTTGATGTCATTTCTAATAATTATACATAGTTGGGGGCCTCTAGTTGTGATAGAAAACTTAGTGGCTTCAAAATGAGTTTTAGCTTGAATATAATTATTGTTTGCATGCCTAGTAAGATATTTGTGCTGTATTTTTTTAAATAACGTTTTAAAAATATTTGGCATCGTATCGTTATGGATTTTATGCATAAAAATTAAATGATGATATATATTTATTTGGTAAATATTTAAAATTTTTAGATTAATAAAGAGTGGTTGTGAATGAGAGAGATTCTTATGACATATTTTGTTTGTTGAATAGTTTGTTTAGTTTTTTTTTATTGGTGCTGCATAGCATAATTGAGATAACAATGGATAAAAGTAAAGTAGATATATTTTAAGCAAATTTGATTTAGGTAAAGTTTTACCTTATAAAGTATGCCAATATTTTTAGAAATTTTATTTTCGATTAATTTTATGTGGTTTATCCATGTGACATTTTCGTAAAGAGAAACTCCTAGAAACTTCATCGAGTGTTCTCTTTTTATAAATTGATTCCCAATGTTAACATTTGGGAGCTTTAGTGGAAACTCGTCTCTTTGAAAATTCGATGAAAAAAATATACTTAGTTTTGATTAAGTTTAATGACAATTTAATTGTATTAAACCATTCAGTTACTTTTAACATTTCTTTGTTGACTGTTTTAAATAGGGTTTTTATATTACTATGGGAATAAATAAATTAGTATTGTCAGTAAATAAGAGTCTAAAATATTCGAAGATTTTCTTAAATCGTTAATGTATATTAAAAACAAAAGCAGTCCTAAAATAGATCCTTGAGGAATTCCACATGTGATTGTCTTATTTTCAGTTTTACAACCATCATAAGAAACATAATTCTTTCTATTAGACAAGTATTTTTTAAACCAAACTATATTTACATTTTTAATTCCGTAATTTAGTAATTTTTTTAAATAAAATATGGTGGTCAACTGTGCCAAAGGCTTTGTTAAGGTCTATAAAAACAACTAATGTATACTCTTCTTTATCAAAGGGTCGAAAAATATCATGAACAAGTTTAAGAATAGCATGATCTGTTAAATGACCTTTATTGAACCCAAATTGTTTGTTGTATAAAATATTATTTGTTTCTAGAAAAGAGAATAGTCTATTATACATTATTCGTTACAGAATTTTAGAGAAGCAAGGAAGAATGGAAATAGGTTTATAATTAGAGACATTAGAAGAATCACCCGATTTGAAAACCAGTATAACGCTTGCAGTTTTAAAATTTTTTGGAAATATTCCTTGTTTTAAAGAAAGATTAAAAATATGCAATAGTAGTGTTATTAAATAATGCATAGATTTTATTACAACGTTACTGCTTATTTCATCAACTCCTAATCCTTTGTTTAGTTTTAACGTTTGAAAAGCATTTAATAACTCATTTTTAGTCAGGTTATTGTTGGTCATTATTGTTAAATTAAAATAGATCAATTTTAACCATAAACACCCTGAAGAGATCGAAGAATTTATTTGATTTAAATAAATTTTCAAATTATAGGAATTCAAATTACAAAAATTCAGCTGTATATTGTTAAGAAAGTAAACGATATATCGTTATGATACAATAAAAATGATACAAAAATGATACAATAATAATGATAGAAAACAACTTTCGATCAACTCAAACAAAAGGAAATTATAATGTTTTAAAGTTAAAAAAAAATTAAAAAACATAAACTTTTAGGGTGCATAATAAAATAATCACTCGGGCGCATTATAAAAAAATCTTTCTTCAATAACTTTTTCCTTCTTATTAAAAGCATGTAAAACCAATACGTTTTCATAGTTTTTCCAGTCTAAAATGGTTTTCTTGAATTATGATATTCATTTAAATAAAATTCATTTAAATAAAAATCTATTTAAAGTTAGATCATTTAATAAGAAAATTTTATTTTTTATGACAACACTTTCTTAAAAATATAATTAAAACATTAATCAAAATTATGGGTCATAATTACCATAATTATAGGTAAAAAATAATTCTAACTATAATAAATATTTTCTACCTGAATTATAACTAATCCAAAAAATTTTTTACACCGAGAAATCAAAGTAAAAATTCAATAATTGATTTGTTTAAGTACTGTACTCTTAATTTCCAGATACCTATGTTTTAGATAACATTGTAGCTAAATAAAGTTGACTTTTTACTCCATGTGACTTTCATTTATTTGGCTACCCTGACCAAATTAGTTACCAAATCTCAACTTTAATATAAGTTAGAGCCGGATTAGAACTCTTTATTCTGAATGGTCCAATTAACAGATTTTCTGGCATGCTTTTTCTGTAGCTCTATGAGATTTCTTGCCACTTTGGCATCAATTTTTGTCACCTACTAGCAAAGTTTTTTTAGCTGACTGAGTTTTTTTGTTTTAATGAAATATTTCGGGGTTGCTTTTCCTTAAAACATCATTACGATATATGATATATACCGTAATGTTGTTTATGTAATGTTGAATTATTCGGAAGTTTTGATCCAATAATTTAGGATTATTTTTTTGCATATGCGACACAATGATCGCAAAAAGTGACCAACGGAGCCGTCCAGTCACGTAGACCTGGGAGATGTGAAAATAAAAACAGATTGAAGATGATGTCATTTAGGTAAAAAAACATAAATTAATGTAAAGATTATTTAGTAGGAGGAATAAAAGTTAGCAACTCAGTAAAAGAGGAATAAAAACTCACACTCTAGTCATCTTTTAGCAAATGATGAAACAATGATCTATGAGTAAACAAGTCAATAAAAATCCGCTGGTTTATAATGGTATTCTTAACTAAAATAATCGCACCATACAAGTGTCTAATAAATGTGGTACTATATGTTATAATATATGTTCTAAACTCTAGATAAAAAATTGAGAACTGATAATCACCTGTGTAACATAAAAATATATAAATGTCGTTAATGTAACAAATTCATAATAAAAAGCTTACAAAGCACAAAAATACATGGGTTTAAGAGGTAAAGATAAAATATACATGGTAGACAGATGGCTTGTTTAAACATTATGCTTTAAAAGTACGCAAAGTTGGTTTTTCGTTATTTATATTTTTCATTTTCATCCAAAAGCTTTGGTAATCTATAATTTTTTATTAGTAAAGTACATGAAAATATAAAAACACCCATGAAGAAGAAAAGAATTTGAGCCAATCACAAATTACATTAAAATATAGGAGGGTGGAGAAGGGGGTAGTTGCATGAGTTTGGGACACTTTGTGACAAGAGGAAAAAGCTATCAAAAAACGCTATTACTTTTGTAAACTGCCTATAAGTTGTGAAATTCAAATTTAATCTTTTGGCGCATTGTTTGTAACATGTATATGGCTAAAAACCATTTTCAAAAATTATTAAACTAGAGAAACCTGAGAATAATTTTTTTTAACTATTATATCAAATATAATATTTGTGGAATTTATTTAATTAAATTTAGGATTTAGCCTTTAAATTGTCACGCTTTTTTTCAAGCTTTTTAACCCCCTCCCTTCCCCTCGTCACAAAATCTTAACCGTTAACTAATAATAATTTCTATTTTTGCCTGATTTTTACATTTGCCACTTTTAAATACTTATTCAAATTATTTAAATTTAAACAAAAAATGCGTTGTTCAAAAAGCTGAAACCAAAACATTTTGTTTCAAAGATCAAAAAAGATCGAATGTGCTAAGACCTAGAAATTATTCTTAATAAGTATTGTAAGTACTCAATTATCATTTATCATTTCTAACAATCTAAAATTGAAAAATAACTATAAATGCAAGAGTAAAAGCAACACAAGCAAACTTTTTTTAAAATCAATTTGTATAAAGATAAAGGTCCAATCATTTAAAAAGAGCAAATAAATAAAATGAACTTGAGATTCTGTTTATAAATATTAATAAAAACAAATCTGTCACAGCATAAACATTAATAAAAACAAATCTGTCACAGCTTTTTTTTAATTTTGTCAAATGGCTTTTAGCGCACACACACACACACACACACACACACACACACACACACACACACACACAATCACAGAGAAAGAGAGAGAGAGAGTTTTGAATCTAATTGCCTCCATTATGTTTTATTCTAAACAGCTCAGAATATATGCGTATACTTATATAATTTGATTAATAATTTATTAAACGTATTAGTAAAAAACTTACAGTATAAATGCCAAGACACCAATCGCCCTAAATAAAAAGCAAATATAATAAAACTATATAACGCTATGAGGATTATAAAAATTATTGTTCCTAAAAAACACTATATATAATTTATAAATAAATAACAATAAAAACAAATATACAATACAGAATTAGCAAAACCTTTGTATTTATATATAATTTTTTTTTAAAGTTGTTATAGTATAGAGTTAAAGTTGTTCTCTTTTTTTCTTTGGTAAACGCAATAAAAATTTTTATTGTAATTAGTTTTTTTGGGTCGTTATTAAGATGCTCACAGAAGTCCTTACGGTCTTATCACAGAGCGCCGAAGAGCATCATTTAACTAGAAAGTTCATGCCTCACTTCTTACAAATGCTGCTTATTAGACTAGCGGTAGCGTCGAACCTCGGACTTCTTGGTTCTGAATCAGAAGTCTAACCACTGCGCCACGGTTTAGCGCCGCACTTTCCTGAGGAAAAAAAAGACAATCATAAGTAATCGCCCATTAATTACGAAACGCCCATTAATTACGAAACGCCCATTAATTACGAAACGCCCATTAATTACGAAACGCTAATTTCACTAAAGATAAAACAAAAAAAACAACTAAAGTTTTCCTTAGCAGAACATTAACTTAAATAAAAATAAAAACAACTCATTAGCGCAAACTGATCAATTAATGGCTACATCTTTTTTTAAAGGTACTCTGTAGACAGTAATTTTGTCAGATTTAAATTTTTCTTGCTATATTTAATAATGGACATTCTTTCAATCAATTTTGAGTAATTGTTACCAAAATATTAAATTTTGAATAAACACCAATTAATGGCCGGGTTGAAAAATTAAGAGCCAGTTTGCTTTTTAATGGAAAATTAGATTCCACTAACTTTGCCTTAGGTTAAAATGTCGTGAAAATAACTTAATTTTCATAAGATTTGAACAAATTTATAAAAGAAAAAATTTAAATTAAAATAATGAACCAGTTAAATATTGATTATTAACTATTAAACATCAAATTTTTTAAATTTTCAAATATTATAATTACTCAATAAAAACTAATAAAGACATAAGAAACCCCTCCAAATATGGAAAAAATAACTTAAAAAGAAAATAAATTATTTGTAAAACTGTATCTATAAGTCTTTGTATGCTAAATACAAGTTATCAGAAACATCAAAACCATTTTAATAACAGAAATTAAAACCAGTCAGATGCTCTAGAGTTAAGCAACTATTCCATAACATTAATGCTGTGTCATTATTCAATTGATCTAAATCTACATTAAAAATTTCTGATCCAGGCAAGATTTATATAGTTTCCGTTGTATCACCATTATTTGTAAAAGTACAATTTAAACTGGGATCCTCCTGTTTTTCAAAAGTTGTGTTTAGTGATACTCCAGATTGATAATTCATAATATCATTTTTGAAGGAATCAAAACTTGATTTAAGCAAGTTCTTACTCCCTAATAACTGGTCAGAGTAAAGTGAATTAGGCAAGTAGGCCTCACATAGAATTGCAGAAGGATTATAGGAAAATACACTACACAATTGAAAACCAGAAACAATGTTGGCGGCAGTTAAGGCTTGATCCCAAGCTTTCTTGAACAATCCACAGAAATTAGACTTACTGATTGTAACAGAGTATGTATTCATTAAACCATGAAAACAAGTATGTCATGACAAAAAGTAAGTCTTCATGGGACCAAATACAGTACGGTCCAATGGCTGCAACCAATGAGAGCAATGTGCTGGCACTTCAATAATTTCAATGTTGTTTTCAATAGCAACAGATAATAGCTCAACTGAACTGTGAGAACCATGGTCATCAACTATTAATACCTGTGGCCTGTTAGTTCCAATGTTTGGTAAAAATGTATTTGTAAACCAAAGATATGCTATTCCTTGTTTTGTCCATCCAGTCTCACTGACACTCCACTTTGAACCAACTGGTGCATCACTTGTATTAAAAGCTTGAAGTGATTTTATTGTTTTACCTTTTGGTATTAGATGTGGAGGTATAGTTTTACCAGCTGCATTCACAGCAGCAATTACAGTGATGATTTCTCTTTTTCCTGAAGTGTGAGACTGAAGATGTTTGGTACCCCGTGCTGCAACAATTTTTGGTGGTTTAAAGTCTAATTGAAGTCCAGTCTTATCCATATTCCAAATTGAAAAATGCATAACAGGTGTACCCAACTTATTAAAAACTTGTTGAAGTGCGAAAAAATATTTAGAAACTTTTTGGATTGACATGCATTGATGTCGAACAGATGATGTTCCTTCAGGTTTTCTTAAAACCATAGTCTTATGTCGTTGTTTAAATGACCGCCACCATTTTTCTGATGGGGTATCACGTTTAAACTTTATCTGGTATTTCTTACTAAGCTGTGAGACATATTTCATAAATTGTCTTTTCCCAAATCAATACCGTTTTTTGCTCTAGATGTGGCATAATCAACTAACTTTTTTTCTAAATGATTTAGTAATTTTGTTGGAGGTCCAGGTCTAACTCCAATTAAGGAGCCACCTCTAAGATATTTTCCAAGTGTTGCTCTTAGAATTTTATATTGAATAGCTGCTGATCTTTGTGATAATGAACTGCTTTTAACTGCATTGATGGAATTTTGCATGTCAGCTTTTGACCGTTGAAAATGTTTATTTTTTTTTCATAATTTTATTATTGCTAAAAGAAGACAAGACAAAAAATCTACTAAAACAAATTCGACTATTACAGAATATGTATACATTAATTGAATTAAATATAAGCATATGAAGACTCCACGGGAAGAAACGGCAGAGTCACTGCCGTTTCTTCCCATTTTTCATTTTGCGATAACTCATTTTTAAACTTTTAAACCTATATAACTTTTTTATTTTTAGGGAAAGGATTAAAATTGTTAAGATATATTATAAAAAAAAACTAATTTTTTATGCAATTAAAGTTATATTTCTAATTTAAATATAATAATTTACGTTATAGACTTTCTTTTTCAGAGTCCATAAAAAATCTCAAGTGAGGTTTTTTATGGACTCTGCCTTTTTTATCCCGGTAAAATGTCTTTTTTTATTTTATTAGTTTTTAGATCAAGTAAAAACCTAAAATATTAATTATTTTTTATTAGCTTATAAATAAAATTAGGCAGAAGCTAATTTTACAAAACAACCTCACCACCAAGACCTAATATTGACCCTTAAAAAGTCTAGGGGATTGAACTAAAATTAAAAATACTGTTTAGTGTTGATATTTTCGTTTAGAAAATAATTATAGTTCTCGTTAACAAAAGGCTTCAATTTTTGTTCCTTTTTCATGCACGAAAATATCACATACAGTCAACTCTCGATATCTTGAATACTTGATATCTCGAACATTTTTGAATCCAGTCAAATCCTTATTTATGGATTATACTCTCGATAACTCGAACATTCTCTCGAACTAATTAATCGGTCCCTATATAAATAATTAATCGGAGGTTCAAGATATCGAGAGTTGTCTAAATAATAATAGTAATAGTTCTAGTTCTCGTTAAGGAAAGGCTTTAATTTTTATTATAAATCTTTTATTCAAAAATATCACTGTTGATGACAAAGTTCAATTTATTTTTTATTTAAAGGTTAACCTATTAAATACCTATATAACTATACTACCTATATATCGATACTACCATTTATTCTTGTCATGATAAGAAGCCAACTCCCTCTGATTGCTTGCAGGGGGCATCTGAGCTTGAAAAGGATCTCACTTCTGCTACAGTATGGGGCTCACGCTGCCTGGTGAACTTTAATTCAGATAAAACTCAATTTTTTTCGGCTAATCGTTATCGCAATAGTTTAGACCTTCCTATATTTATGAACGGTAATGTACTCAATGAGTCTCCTACCCTTCATCTTCTTGGATTAACTCTCACTTCTGATCTTTCTTGGAAACCTTATATCAAATCCGTTGCAAAATTAGCATCTGCTAAAGTTGCATCTCTTTATCGAGCTCGTCACTTTCTTACTCTGGATTCTATTCTCTTTCTCTATAAATCTCAAATCCGGTCTTGTATGGAATACTGTTGCCATATCTGGGGCGGATCTTCTAATGATGCCCTTTCTCTTTTAGACAAGGTGCAAAAACGCATTGTAAACATAGTTGGACCTGCTCTTGCAGCCAACCTTCAATCTTTATCACATCGTCGTAAAATTGCTTCTCTTTCTCTTTTCTACAAATACTATAATGGGCACTGCTCGAAAGAGCTAGCGTCTCTTGTCCCATCTACTAAAGTTCATTCTCGTGTTACTCGTCATTCAATTAAGTCTCATCCTTTTTCTGTTGCTGTTCCTAAGTGCTCCAAAAACTCTTATTCGTCTAGTTTTTTTCCTCGAACATCAGTTCTTTGGAATTCGCTTCCTTTATCTTGCTTAAGTCATCTGTCAATCGTTATCTTGCTCTACAATCTTTATCTTTTCTATTCCAGTAACTTCCAACACTAATTAGTGGTTGCTTGCAACCTTGTTGGAAGCGAAGATAATAAAAAAAAAAAAAAACTATACTTATGCAGGTGTCACAAAACTGTAAGCACAAAAAGTTATTTAATGCAAAGTTTCTTTCCTGATAATAAAAGGGCTTAAAAACTTTATAGGTTTTCAAACAATTTAGTATTTATTTGATCTGAATTTTTATTTTCATACCCTGACTAATAGTCAAAAAATATATTCAATATCTTGTGATTATTAATTATATAAATTGTTGTATATTAAGTGAAGCAAAAAAGAAACATATTAAAGATTATAAATTTGTCAACAAACACTAAGAAAAAAAACAACTAAAAACAAAATTTAAATAAAAAAAGAAGTCTTTTTACTCTTCATCTCCAGAATATTTTCATGAAATGTCTCGATAACCTCCTGATTGTATAAAATGTCTCGATAACCTCCTGATTGTATGAAATGTCTCGATAACCTCCTGATTGTATGAAATGTCTCGATAACCTCCTGATTGTATGGCAAAGAATCATCTGAGGATTGGATATAAACCTTTTTAATACTTGTAAATCTCTGTATTTTGCCACAGAGATGCAAAGTTTTGCATTATACAGAATGGGATCTCACTCTTTATAGTACTTTCCTATTATTTTTTAAATTATTTATCAACAATAATCCATTCCACGAATCACGATGAAATACAATGCCATTGAGTCTCCTCTGAAACAAATTTCACAAAGAGAACAAGTTGGAATTGGACATTTATTCTTATAAAATGGTCTCATAAAATCAGTTATACTTTTAACCATACCTTGCGTTAATTTTTTAACATGAAACGGAGTGGGTTTTTTACGAGCATTTTTGAATGTTTTAATCCAATCTGATGGATCACTAGTGGGTGTTTTGCAATTAATTAATCCCATACCTTTATCACATTCCATAAAAGAATGACCACTTTCTGGAAATGTAACTTTAATAAAGTCAAACCTTTTTTTTTCATGAACAAGAAAATCCATAAAACGAATTAATGTATAGTTTTTGTTTTGGATAATACATGAATCACAAAAAGGCTCTACAGATTGAATTTCTTTGTCTAAATATTTTATAAAAAAATCATATAACATCGAAGTTACCTCATCAGCACCTTTTTTAGCTATAGTTTCATCATAACAATACAAATAAACTTCGTTTGTGCTTTAAACCGAGCATTTCTTTTCCTAACATAAAATATTTCTGCATCTTTGTGGTGCTGTTCTTTCTGCTCATGCAATTGTTGTTCAGGCTTTGTACATTCTGAATTAAAAGATAGTTCAATTTGTATTGCATCAATTTTAATTTTAAACTCATCACATTTAAAACATGTGTCAGTCCAAGGGTACCCAAAAGAAATGATAAAACTATTGTTAAATATGTTGCGATAAGATTCATATGACAATTTATCATTTGCATACTTGATTTTAAACAAGTCATACATCTTGGTTATATTTTATTCTTGAGAAAGATATAGTCGCCTAGTTTTTTTTTTTAGAGTAGTGGGACTCTCTACCTCTGAAAGAAGAAATGTGATCGCATAGTTTATTTTTTAGTTGAGGAGTAAAATTTTTATACTGATTCTTGTGTTTACCTTTTCTATCATGAGGAGAGTGACCTATAATAAAAAAAATAATTTTAATATATAAAAAAACTTCCATTAAAAATAGGCATTCTATATTCAATGAAAATATATAATTTACCTTAAGTTAAAAGGCTTCTTTTAATGGTCTCCAATCTTCCCTTCTTTATGCCAAAGATTGAAATAAACGCAGAAAAGCAAACATATATAAACGAACTCGTAAGTATCTGGTGATTTGTAATAAAAAGTTTATATTTGTAACTGCTATTATAAACTTTTGAATTGAAGTTATTAAACTTGGATGATACGAACCTTGAGCATCCTTGCTGGATAGAGAATTGAAATATCTTTTTAACACTTTTCTATCTTCTTCTTTAACATTATCGAAGCATTTCAGCCTTATACAATTACATTCAAGTACTGCGATGCTAATCTTTGTTTCTTTATACTTTCACGCAATCTTTCCTTATTTTTTCTTTTCTTTGATTTTTTTAGAATTTCTATTGGTATTTCAAGTGTCGCCAATTTTATTATTTAATTTACATTAATCAAATCACCTGTGATTATTTTGAAAAACAAAGACTTATATCCTTAAGTATGAGTCTTGATAATTCAAAAAATAAAAATGATAAACTTGGTTTATGTCTATTAGTTGCGAATATTATTTAAACTCATAAATACTTGTCTTTTCGGGGAGGTATGTATTGAATAATTAAAAAAAAGTGATTAAGTTCCATCAAACTTTAAAAGTACATCCCATTTTTTTTTTGATTTGAATACAGATAAAATGTATAATAAAACTGTTTATAAAGTTAAAGAGTGTAAAATGTCAAAATTTTTAAAATGTTACCCTGCCGTTTCTTCCCGTGAAGTCTTCATATTATATATATGAATATGTTATTAATAATGATGTCATAAATAATATATTATTAATGAGTCGGAGTCGCTAAACAAAATCGCGACTCCGACTCCAATAGTAAAGCTTCTCGATATTGCACGTGCATGTACATTACATCCAATTTCATTCATCCAACGTTTTATAAATTTGTCAAAAAAGAAAATTTTAACTTATCCCGTAATTTCTTTTAAAGAATTTAAAGAATTTTTCAAAAATATTGCTTTGGAGTTTGAATCGGAGTTGGAGTTGGAGTCGGAGTCGGAGTTGTGCTCAAAAAATTTAAAGAACTGGAGTCGGAGTCGTTACTTTTTTTTTACGACTCCACAGCCCTCTCATTACCTTAAGTAAGCTTAATACTTAGGTTACCATATTTTGTTTCTTTAATAGTCTGAGTTTTTCAGAGATATTTTTATTATTATTTATTTTGCAAGTCTTGTTCTACCTCACAAATAAAAGAAGCAAGTATTTGAATAACTAAATGAGTCAATTAAATAAATTTCTTATTATTAAGCTTGTATCAGCAGAAAAAATAACCCTCAAAAAAGCGGCTCTTAATAGAACGTGGCCACTAATAGGTCAGTTTGTCCTATATCTAATGAAAATCACCGCGTAAAAAAGCTAAAGATATCCTACTTTTTTTTTTTTTTTTTTAAATAAATTAGGCATTGCGTAATTTATGAACAATCCCTAATCAGGGCCGTCCCGAAGAGATTTTAAAGGTGAGAGAGGAAGGAGGGGGGGGGGGGGAGGGTTGACGTATCTGTTTTTTGCCGACTAAAATCTAAAAAAAAAAAGAAAAAAAGAAATAGGTTTTTGTTAGTTTATATTTGCCGACTGCCAACTATAGATCCAATTTTGCCGAAACCAGTGTCCAATATGCCGACTAGTAAATTTTGTATTTTTAAGTATATTTTATAGTATATTTCGTTATAGTATAAACGTCGTTATTAATTATATAATATAAAAAAATATTTACGGCATATTTAAACTTTTTAATATGCGGAGAGTGAACGGCATATTTAAATTTTTATTAAAAAATTAATTTGTAGAATAAATATTACTGAAATAGTTATACAAATATAATAAACTAAAGAATAATATAACTATAAAAATGAAATAAAATAAAATATAACGTAAATATATAAATATAATATAATAAACATATAATATAATAAACATAAAGTATTATAAAATAATAAATAAAAAAAGTATGATAGCATGACATTTATTTCAACTCTTTATATCTTCTACAAACTTATAATTAATTAAAATTTAACTTTATATTGAGAGCAAGAGAAACCCAAGGACAACTTGACAGCTTTGTCTTTAATTTAAAAGTTTGATTTCCTTTATAATAAAGCGATTTCTCAAGGTTGGTTTAAGTTATTTTCAAATTAGATCATTCTTAACTTTTTTCACAGTTTAATAATTTAAGTTTAAAAAAAAATGACCATTTAAAAAAGGCACCATAATTATTGAGACATACCACATATCTGTGTAACATCCTATAGTTTCATAACTAACAATTTCTGGAGCAACAAATTCAGGGGTACCCATCATTTCTTTTAAATCTTTTCCTGGAGTCAATCTTTGCGCAAGCCCAAAATCAACCAGCTTGATTTCATTGCGATTTTTGGATTGTAATACAATGTTTTCTGGCTAAAAAATTTATTATAAAATTAAAAAAACAAGTAAGTTTTGTATATTTTAATTAATATATATATATATATATATATATATATATATATATATATATATATATATATATATATATATATATATATATATTTAAAATCATTTCCTGGGAAAAGAAGGTATGAAAAACACACACACACGCACTTCTCACCCCTAATCCATACTCCCCCTTCTTTCCTTAAATACACGCTGTATTCCATGTTAATAAACAAAAATTTCTCGAAAAGTATGTCTTGGTCTCAAATTCTTATTTACTTAAAATCTCTTATTTTTATTTACTTAAAACCCTAAATGGAAAAAATAAAAAAAAGTACCTAATAAAAAATGACCATATCAATTTTTATCAAAAATGTTGTTTTTTCACATTTAAAACTTAAATAATATACATTAATTTAAAACCATTATTTTTTTATTACCATTATGTTTGTTTTATTATCACCTTTTTCTTTACAATAAATTCGATTATTCAATTAAATTAAGAACACAGGGACGTATGTAATTCACTTAAGCTTGGTATGCATGAAAATAAAAAACTAATCGTTTTTAATTTTTCATGCATACCGAGCTTAAGGTAACTTTCTAGTTATTAATTTTAGCAAAAGATTTGATTTTCTATTCTTATTTTTTGGGTTTATTATCAATATAATAGTAATCAGTTGATTAATTGTATGTTACAACAGAAATATATATGAAATATATAACTATTATGTTACAACAGAAATGTATATGATTTAAATTTGTGCATTACAAATCAAAACAAGTAAATAAGGATGACTGACAAATACGTTGGACTGCATAAAATACACAATTATTACTAATTTATAGTATTTTTTTTATAGTATTATTATTCTATTTATCGATTTACTAGTATAATTGACCCTCGATTACACTCTGTATTTCATATTATCAATTTTCTGATATACCAGTAAATAAATAAACAGAATATGAACAAAAATTTTACATTGAAAGTTACAACGAAACCAACCTTTATATCTAAGTGAACAATATTCAAACTATGAATGTGATAAACAGCTTCCAGGACTTGCTTCATATAAAAGCATGCATCAACTTCTTTTAAAAACTCACACTCGCATATTTTGTCAAACAATTCTCCACCTGATAATCTAATGAAAAAAAAAAATACAACAATATATACCAACATATAACAACATGGTAAAATTGGAAATTCTCGTTCGTATCTATTTCTTTCCTTGGAAAAATAAAAGCTTGCTATTAAAAAAGAAACACAAAATATTCGTCTATATTTTTATTTTTAATTCATTATAAACCTCCACGCCCTAATTAAGTTGAAGAGCTTAGAAATGCTACGTCTGGCGTCAATTCTTTAGATATAACTTAAGATAAAAACTTTTTCACCTTTAAGTCATTTTTTCAATTTTACTTTGGATAATCTAGGAACCCTAATCCTAGATTGTAAATTCTGTTAAACGCATTTTAAAAGAAATTATTACTAGTTACTAAAAAATTTAACATCTTCTTTTATATAACATTATAAATATTTTTATAAAAGTAGTTACCGTTATTATTGTTATTATGAAAATTAATTAAAATAAAAAAAGTAAAAAACTAAGAAACATACAATTCTAATACAAGCACAATTTCGGTACCAATATCAAACAAGTCATAAAGTTTAATTATTTTTGAATGATCGACGGAAAAAAGAATTCCAGCTTCTCTTTCAATCAGCTCTTTACTTAAACCATTTTTACTGGCTTTAGATCTTTTAACTTTTATAAACTTAGCTGCAACCTCTTGGTTATTTTCCTTTGAAATGCATTTTTTTACAACAGCAAACTGTCCCCTACAACGTAATTATATGCTTAGATGCAAGGTTTTAAGTGTAATTATCTAATTGTGTACAAAAAATAGTTTAAAATGCATATTTATGTTACCTTCCTAATTCTTGCATAACATCATAAAAGTCTTCAAATTTTTCATTTCGGCATTGAACTGTCGCTGACATCACCTATTTGTTTTGGTAAATAAGCGTTGACTTCTTTTCTAATAACATAAAGAAAATAATTAAATTAATAACACAACATTTATAGGTATCACACAACTTTTATAGGTATCACACAACCTTTTAAGTTAAGTATCACACAAATTTTTATACAGCTTTCGAAAAGTAATTTAAGTCATTTTTATCTGTTTCACATTTGTATTATAAATTTATAAATTATAAGTTGTTGAGTTTATAACATGTTTATAGCCATTACAAAATTTGAAAACTTTAATAAAATTTTTTAAAACAAAATAGCATTTTATCACAATTATTTATTATCATGATTGTTTTTTTAACATGATAATCCTTGAAAACAAAATTTATAGATAAGTATCTTAAAACCAAGTTTTGGGTACCTGAAAAACAAACTTTATTCAAGAATCATTCACTTAACAAACAACTAAATTGATCCAACTGGGATTTTCATCTTACTATCAATGTTAACTGCTCTCCATCTTCTCTATTTAAAGATTCCAAAACAAACACGTAACGAAATCATGAGAGCAATACTTGAATATTTAGTATTCAAGTACAATTATTAATATACTCACAGTATACACCATTTAAGAGTAAAAATAAATTCAAATGTTTTTGATAATACTTAAATGTATTTCTTTAATGCTTCTTTCTAGTTCTCTTCATTCATTTGATTAATAATTAAAATCCGTTAAATAAGTCAAGTAATAACTTAACTTTTTTAAATTAACTTTTGTATTGTGTTATAATAATAAGTAAAAAAATAAAGGAAAGGACACACGTGCTACTATTGTTCTGATAAATCTACAGATAAACCAGACTGTTTCGTGAGTAACATTAGATTTAAATGATTACGTAAAGCAATTATTATGGTTCAACATTTCCAAAAAAATTTTATTTGTTGTTTGTTATTTAAGTCTTTTTTTTATAAATAAATACAAAATTTCTTTTAATATCATCTGTAGTTTACTCAAAACATATCATTACTTTTTAAATCAAAGCGAACTATTCTTAATTAATTTATGAAAGATTATTCTAGATTTTTAGAGATTTTGGAACAAAATATTGAAATTATAAAATTTCTTTTATATTTTCAGAGGTTTTGGATTAACAACAAAATATTTCCTAATTAACTTGTCGGTAGTAAAACTTATTTACCCCATGTTAATAAAGTTTGTTTACCTCGTATTAAACTAACTGCGACAATTTTGATGTTGAATATAATAACAATAATTCTTTTAAACACCCAATAATTACATAAAGTATAGGTAAAAGTATTGATAAAAAAAAAAAAAAAAAAAAAAAAAAAAATAGTATTTTCTTGCACTGTTCTTAAAATGTTCACTACGGCTGCGGCGCAGTGGTTAGAGCGCTTGCTTATTAAGCAGGAGATTCAGGTTCAAAACGAGCTTTGAACATATTTTCGCGTCACGGTAAGGAAGGAGGCGCGAACTTCCTGGTTAATGCGCTTCCGCGGTTCTCTGTGACAAGACCGTTAGGTCATTTTGGGGCACCAAAATAACAACAACAACAAAAAAAAATGTTCTTTTCCATCAGAGTTCCAAATATTTTTGTTCCTTTAAATATTAATTTTTGTTCCTTTAAATATTAATCTTTGTTCCTTTAAATATTAATCTTTGTTCCTTTAAATTGTTCTTTTAAATTAATATGATTTATAGCTAGAAAAACTCTAATTTTTTAGCAGACTAAATACAAGTAAGCTAAATCCGATAAATAAACAATTTAACTATTTAAATAATTCAACTATTTAAACTGCAGGATGGTATGAATTCACTCATTCTTATTTATTTTAAAGTGATAAAATTGAATTTCATAGCTCTGTAGCTATATTGAAATATTAAGCAAGCTATTATATTTTATAGCTCTGCAGCTATATTGGAATATTAAGCAAACTTATATTATATTTTGACAAACTTATATTATATTTTGACAAAGACTAATAGCTTTTAAGACCTCTTTCACCTTCTTTCATCTTCTTTCATTCAAATAATTTTCTCTCTGATTAATGGATTTTTGGCTTTAATCAGTGCGTTGAAGCAAAAACATTTTTTCGTGAGTGAAGCACTAATTTTGTTTTTAGTGAGTGAAGCACTAATTTTGTTTTTAGTGAGTGAAGCACTAATTTTGTTATTACTCAGAAAATACAAAGAAATTTTTTTTTGAAAAATTGCCTTTCAAAAAACAAATTTACTTATTACAAATTTCTAATACACATTCTCAGAATAAACTTATTTATTTTAGCTATTCCAACATGGCCTCGTAAAGTAAATAGTAATAATAATATTAAGTTAATAATATTATAAATAAAAATTATAGAATACTTTTTTACAATGCAAAAGTTTAAAATATAGAATAAAATGTAACACATTAAGGCCCACGGAGAGATCTCATGATGAGGATGGATAATTTTATATTTTTCTCCATTTGACTTGACGTGCTTTTCTAGCAGTACAAGTCAACAGGATCGTGGGTTCTATTAACTTGTTTATTGGTTTAATATTGGTTGACTTTAGAGACAAATATTGAAATTTTAAAGTTGTTTTTAAGGAAATTAAACTCTTTTCTTTTCCCAATAAAGTTAGTGAAGGCGGATTTCCAGTTAAAGGAAATTTTCCGTGGAACGAAAAAGAAAAAAAATCATCCAATCATGCAACAAAAAATTTTAGATGCGCAATTTTGTTACGTGATTGGATGATTTTTTTTTCCTTTCTGTTCGGCAGAAAATTTCTAGTAAAGGGAAATCCGCCTTAATAAAGGTTTATACTTTAAGAGCTTGACACTAGAAGAAAAAAAGGAACAAAGATTGTTGGATTTTTTTTATTAGGACAGCGAATACAAATGGTACACTTTTATCTCCCATCAATAGAATAGAATTTTCAAATTCAATAAAAAATATTACTACCAAAAAGTGTTCTAAATATTTTCTGTAACATTTTACGTTTGACTTGTTTTATCTGGCATATGTTTATGACAGATGGTAGATATTTTATCTGGCAACCAAAAATCTATTTTCACAGTGATTTTTATTTCCGATAAAATAAACTCTTGAATTTTTTGATGTTTCTGTACACATTTACACTATACCATTATTATCAACACTAAAATAATGTTTTAACCAACAAAAATGCATTTGAATTTTGTGCAAGTGCAACCAGAGAACCTTAAGCTTTTATACCAAAATCAAACTATCTGCTGACATATAGTTATATTGCTGACTATAGTTAAATCGCGTTAAAATAATAAGAGAGAATGTAATTTTACAGAAATTTACATAAACAGTATTTTAAATCTTTCCTGTCTTCTCTGCTAATCGTGCTCACGCTACTGGTTTCGTGCACAATCACGACAATCACGACAATCGTGTTCACGCTACTGGTTTTGTTCTCCTCCTAATTCTCAAGCAATTTTTTTATTAAGCAAAAAGTTGGCTAGTCAATTTATCAACATTTTGTTATATTTCTTATTATAAAAAAAGCTTATTATTGATGTCCATATTTTTTAGCGATGTAGTTTGATAAGTAGCCTTGGCGCAGTGGTTAGCGCGCTTGTCTCAGAAACTAGAGACCCGTGGTTCAACGCTATCTCAACGCAAGTTTTATAATATCGGTTAGGAAGGAGGCGTGAACTTCCTTTCAGTTCCGCGGTGCTCTGTGATAAGACCGTAAGGACTTCTAGGGGCACCTAAAATTAATCAAAAATATTAATAATAACGAGTTGCTCTGTTGAAAATTGAAAATAAAATATTTTAAAAAGTCTATATTTAAAATTATAGTAAATAGAAAAAGCAACCGTACTATCGTGATTTATGCGTTAATTTACTACGCTAACTTATGTTGACCAATCAAAATTATATTACGAAAAAATGTGGAAGTCAATAACAAGTTTTCTTCCGAATAAGCAAAATTTAAAATCTTAATAAATTGACGAGCTAACTTTTTACTTAACAAAAAAAATTGCTTGATAATCAACAGGAGAGCAAAACCAGTAGCGTGAGCACGACAAACCAGTAGAGTGCATGGTTAGCAGAGAAATCAGTCTCTTGATCCGTTCCTGGTATATACACATATATACCAAGGAGGGATCCACCATTCAAATAAAAAAGGAAATTATAATAACAGCAAACACATATCGACCCTCAAAATTAATAAAGTTTAAAAAATTTTCTTTTTCGTTTCTTCAAAAACGAAAAAGAATAATTTCATTTTGATTCTCTTAAATTACTTTCCAGTTTTGAATGTTTTTTTTTTTAACTTTGGTTTTTTTTCTTTTTTTTTCTCGTTTCTTTTTTCGTTTTTATTTTTCTTTTGCTTATTTCTTTGATTTGGTTTTTAATTTTTTGTTGTTGTTTTTTGTTTTTTTCGTTCTTTTTTTTTCTTTTCTTCACTCTATTTATTTTTATTTTATTTATTTTTATTTATATTATTATTTTTTTTTTTTTTCTTTCTATCTTTTTTAATTTTTTCATAAAATTCGTTATAAAAAAATGTCCGCCATTCCATATATATTTCATATATATTTATTTTTCTAAATTTTTATTCCTAAAATAAGGAAATCAAAGAAGATTCACCATTTTTGGGTATAAAAATCTAAAAAATTCTTTTCGCAGATTCCCTTGACGGCGTATCTATGATATACGCCATTTGACGTATATCATAGATACGCCTATGTAAAAAAGTTAATTTGAGTAAAATTAGAAATAATTTTTTTGTAATTAGCTTTGTAATTACTATTTATACTGTTATTATATATTTTTAAATTTTATTTTATTTTACTTTTTTTTACTTTTTATATTTTTTTATTTATTGCAATTATTTTTACAAACTAAGAATATGCAGCTTTGCTTGCCGTTTAAACGACAATATTCCATTAATTTTTGATTTTTCAAGTTTTGTCCATGTTTTGGGGCCTTGTGACAATTAAAAATTCTGAACCCTGAGTTCAGAATTTTTAATTGTTTAATAGTTTTGAATGAATTCGTCTTTTAACTTTGGTTTTTTTTCTTTTATTTTCTCGTTTCTTTTTTCGTTTTTATTTTTCTTTTGCTTATTTTTTTGATTTGGTTTTTAATTTTTTGTTGTTGTTTTTTGTTTTTTTGGGTTTTAGTTTTTTTAATATAATAGTTATTTGAAGCTATTTGATCGCAGATTATAACTTTAAGAAATGATGACGAAAATATGTCTAAAAAAAATTGGTAGCATATTATTTTTATATTTGATCATAAAAATAAGAGTCTGATATAAATTAAGTTTTTCCAAGTTTAAGAATTTCATATTTGTCACTGCATTAGAAGGATTGACCATTCTACTTAGATAATGAATTGCTTTACAAGCAGGGGTTTGCAAGCCTTGTGGTTTGATTAATTTTGTTGTGTGTGTGTTAGCACACACTATATAAGCATATGTGAGATGGCTATGGCTAATGGCTATGGCTAAAGTAAAGCTTTTTTCTTGAACAGAAATCAAAAAACTGACGACATTTATATAAAATACCTATTGCAGATGATATTTTTGATTCAATGTGTTCAATATCATTTCTCCATGATAAATTTTCATCAATTTGAACAACAAGAAACTTTGCATATTTTTCCCGCCTTATTGTTATGTTGTTAATGA